AACTGGAGAAAGATGACAGAAGCAACATGGTAGTCAGCTGGAGAGTCACAGCAGAACCTGGGAGCAAAGACCAATTAACTATCTTTCCAATCTTTTCCCCTCTGTCCATACCTATTTATTGTCCATCTATCTCTGTGGGTAAGGGCAAGTTTATAAGGGAAATGCGTTTTAATTCGTCATGTTCTATGCCAACATTTTATGATTGTTTATCATAGCTAGAGTCTAGTTATTTGTAATAAACAGTAATTCTTAAATCAGGACTGAAATGTGGTCCATGCCTTCTATTAACCCAGGTCTGAAAGTCAGGCGAAGTTGGGAACTTTGCACACTTTACAAAATCTTTAATCTTTGTGACGACTCTAGGAATAGCAGAGTTCAATTTACAGTGTGTTACCCCAGTGAGATATAACACTGAACACATACTCGTTCACTCAGATTGGAAAATGGGCCAGTAATTTCCTCCAAGTACACGAAGAGAAGCCATGTGGGAAACAATAAATTTACCAGATAACCTTACTCCTGAACTGGGAAGAAACATTCTCTCTATATTCTCCTGGTTTCCCTGATGGTTGTTGCTGATCTACAATACAACCATGCTTCATGCCAGCCTAGTTAGGTTGGTTTGGAGAAGAGTAAATGAGTTTGGACCCATTGTTTCCAAAGCTCTCCTCGAGTAGGATTCTCCTCAGCTCTGACCTGGGTCTGTTCTGAGCTTGGTTGTTCTAAATCAATCAATAACTTAAATTGCGATCGAATTATGTAGCTACCAAAAGCTCCTGTGTACATCGCCCAACTAGAATCAGGAGTAGGAAATTTAGCAAATTCTTCGCAGGCAAATTGATTATCATTCAGTAGGGCAGCACAGCAGGGAAGTGAACCTGGGACCTCCCTGGTCCAAAATACATGGACCACTGCACTGATTTAGAGTCAGTGGGGTGCAAGACAATGACAAAATGTCATTCCCAGCATTCCCTGCAGCTTTTCTAAGGATGTTCAAAGTGGTCCAGGTTGTGAATCATGTAGGTCACCAAAAATACCTTGAAACTTGGGAAAAACAACATAATCAAAGACCCCTCCCATCCCAATTAGACTCTTTTCCGTCAGGCAGAAGATAAAAAAAGTTTGAGAACATGCACCAACAGATTCAAGAACAGCTTCTTCCCCACTAGTCAGAACTTTGAATGGACCTCCCATTTGGTAAGTTGACCTTTCTCTGTAGCTGTTACACTAATTCTGCATTCTGTTCCATTACCCTGATGTACTTTTGTAAGGTATGATTTGTCTGGTTGGCATGCAAAACAATACTTTTCACTGTATCTCGGTACATGTGACGATAATAAAACAAAACATCTGCAGTCCTTTCTACAATCCAACAAAAAGGTCCCCAAGGTTTGAGAAAACTTAAAAATGGAAGACATCTCTGTGGGTGATCGTAGTCACCCAGGCTCTAAAACTCCCATCATGGCCCACTGAACGCAGGGCAGAACCGCATCAAAAAGGATGCAGAGGCACTTGTTGTGCTTCATGTTGATTCAAGTGTCAAGAATAAGCCCAGGTGAGAGGAGCTTGTTCAGTATTTCCTGTTCTTATACTAAAAATGGTTCTGTTCCACAATTTGAAGAATCCTCATCTTGAACAGAATTCACACTGGTTAAGATAAACTGGTATGGTACTTCATATGTAACCACATGGTCTTATAAGTTTTGTGTCCACTCACCTGGCCACACCTGAACAGTGCTTTGGGGTTCTTGCTTTCGATGCTGAGAGCTCTCTCCCCATAAACCAGAGCCCGTCTAGGTGCATTCAGCTTCAGACTGACTAGTGACAGGTTTAGGTACAGCAATAGCTTAGATGAGTGAATTTCCTGCATTTGCTCCTTGTCAGTTTCAGGACAATGTGCAAACACCGACAGAGCCTAAAGAGAAACACTGGGCATGAGGTCAACATATCTGAGGCCAGGGAAATACGACATGGCTGTTTAAAAACAGATTATCAAACTTCCTCGACTTCCCGATAGATGCAACACTATAGAAAGAGAGCCCCTGAAAGAGATAACGAGATTGATAGTTTGTTTAGAAGAGAGAAAGGGACATTCAAATCGAAAGTTGGAGAAATATTTTTCCACCTTCCCTCTGTCAGCCAGGAGTCTCACCCAGGACAGAGATCAGAAATTTGGGTGGGATTACAGAACCCTCTAAGGACTTGGCCATGAAATAGTGGACATGGTCATCTCCCGAGGATCCACAACATGCCCTACATTGTCATGACGACGGATCAGGACACTGGATCACATATGGATATTCTTTCCCCTTAAATAAAGATTGCAAGGCAAGTCTGGCTTATAGCGTGACTTTGCATTGACTGCTGAAAGAGTTCCAGTGAGAACCCCGGGAACATCGCCCCTTGTAGCATGTAAGGGAAGCTCCAGGGAGAGACAAAACGTGCGAGAGAGAGACTTCAAAGGAGCAGAGGTGTAACACAAAGTAATTACCTCCTCCCAGCAGAAAAACATCGACTATGAGTTATATTCCAGACTGCGGACTCAAGCCAGAAGAAATGTTTGTGTTATCAACTACAGGAGTGCAACTGCAACTACAACCCTCAGTCTGTGCGTATTTGTGGATTAGTACACAGTGAAGATTGAGCACAACCATTAAGCCCCCCTGCACTGCAGGTAGAAGATTAAAGATACTCCCAGCCACCATTAAAAGGAAAAAGGGCAAAAGAATGTCAGCTGACTTGCAAAAGCAAGCATCTTGAATTGTCAACATGAGGAGTGTCACTAGTATCACCCAACATATCAGTCCCAACATCCCATCAGCTACTCATCTACTCTTCAGATATCTGATTAACCTTCACTTTTCTTTTTTGGCTCTGTTCTCACTTCTAATGCGTGTATATATGTGCTGTTCTTTTTCTCCCCCTTGCCTCACGTTTAGTAACTAATAAACGTGCTTTTGTTAACTGAAGAATTGCTGGGAAAGTGGACTCCTTTTCAAACACAAGCTCATTTGGCCTGAGAGCAAGGTATCCACAAGGAAAGGGATTCATGTAAAATTGAATGAGCTGGAGCCAATCGAGGGGGTAGGTGAATAAAGAAAGGGAGTAAGCCCATTCCTCTTCACCTGGGAGCCTGATAGCTCCCAGTGTCTGGGTCTGTATTACGTTGGGGATCCTCAATAGTCATAATGTCATTAACACAAACACGTGTATAGGAGAATACCTTTAGCTCTACAAAATGTTCTAAATATTTCCCAGAAATGTTATAAAGTCAGATTTGACAGAGCCACACGAGGGTGAACAACCAAATTTTCAGGAAGTTTAAAAGAGTTTTTTTTGCAGTTTCTCAAGAGGAGGGAAAAAAAGAAGAGGTTTAAGGAAGGCACTCCAGCTGAATGTATGACCACTGACAGTGCAGCAATTAAAACTGACCTGCAAAAGAACGCAGTGTTAGAGAAGCAGAGCTGTCTCAGCAGGGTGAGGGGCTGGAGATGAGAATGACAGGATGGTCTTTAAGGCAGCTCGCTGCTTCAGTTAAAGTCCTGTGGTCCACATGTACAGTCCTGGTCACATAAAAGATGGGTCCAAAAATAGAAGCAGCGGCTTCGATTGATAATCATTTGAGTACTTGGAACACACACACAGGTACTGACCTGCTCAATTTATACATGGATAGGTTTATTTAGATATTGGTCAGGAAGATGCACTCAAGGACGAAGGATTAACTATAGATCAGCTGCTGGCCTAACACTTGGAAGCTGTGATTCTTGCCCAGCGTTGAAGTAAAGTTGTGGAAAGGTTGATCAGGAGCGCCCTGCACACGGCATAGCACTAGCCTACCATCGGCTGGCGACAAAAATCTCAAAACGTGCCAGATTATACATAAGGAGCAGATTGGATGACTAATACTCCTGGATGACCAACACTCTGGCCTGAAAACTCACTTTATAGGCACGCAAGAGTTTGCGTTGAAACAGTACCTTGGAAAATAGTAAAAACACCCCACGACACTTCATAGCAGCATAATCAAATAAAGCTGACACCGAGCCGGAGAGACACGAGGGCGGGTGGTCACGGAGATGAATTCTGCTGAGCAACTGAACAGAAGGAGATGTGCTGGGGGGTGTAGTGAGAAAACTGCACACAGAGCTGAGGGCCTAGGATGCTGAGACCATGGTCTCCAGTGGTTGGATGAAGGAAATTGGCATGCAGAAGAAGCTAGTGATAGATCCACGTAGAGGACCTGAGGAAGATGCAGGACCATTAGACACAGAACTGAACGTAGGCCATTTGGCCCATCAATGAGATGATCTGTTAATCATCTTGTAGGGCTGGAGGAGGTTATAGAGATCAAGAAAACTAAAGTCACAGAAGCATTCGAAAACAAGAAAAACTTTAAAGATCAAGACATCATTCGACACAGAGTCAGAGTAGACCAGTGAACAGGAAACTCAATGGGCAAAGTGAACTTGATCCAAGTTGGTCAGTTGAGGAAGCGTCACCGGTCCTGAAACATTAACTCTGTTTTCTCTTCAGCGATGCGGGCAGGCCTGCTGAGCTTTCCCAGCAATTTGTTTCCGTTGGCACAAGTTAGGAAACGCACAGAGCTTTGGATGAACTGAATTTAAGTGAGGCGAGCAGGGAGATTCCCACTATCCTCAGTAAACTGTAATACCCGAGTAACCCCTCATCAGGGAAATACTGGGAACAGCCCTCTCTCAAGGCATTAAACCACTCATTCCCGAAAACACTGGAACATCCCAAGGCCAGGCTATCTGCAAGTACTGAGACACATATACCCTCCCACCTTCGTGCTGTAAATACCGAAACTCACAAAAGGGATTCCAGCAGCAACCTTCCCACACTCCCACAGATATATAGTGAGCCATCCCAGTGAATACTGGATTCCCATGGACACCGACTGAGTAGTGAGCAGCACTAGAATTACAGGTGCTTTGTTCACACTCACTCTCTATCACTCAGCCCTCCCCATTCAGTACCTTCTTATACTGGTCCTTCGCATCCTCATACCGCCGCAGTTGGAAGAAATAATTCCCAAACTCCCGCTCTGTGCTGGCCACTTTCAGAAGTTTCTCCACAGGATAAGTAATCTGCTCTTCCTACAAAAAAAAATTACAAAACCCCATCAAAATAGGAATCAACAGCTCTCGAGCCCTTTTCAACACATTAGCCCCACTCACTTTGGAACAATCATCTTCTTTATTTTAGAGAAAAAGAGGAGAAATTCTCCCCAATGTGTCTTCACACTGAACTCCTGAATGCTAAGCAATGTATGAACTCATCACTTCAGTTCTGCACATTTTCTACGTTATATTTCATTAATAATTCCTCTGGCGAGAGACCGAGACAGCGCGAGCTGCTGAGAAACAGCTCTTTGACATTTCTCTGGATAAGAGCTGGTATGGTATAGCGGGAGTGTCCCTAACGCTGAGCAAGATCCGGGTTCTAGTTCTAAGAGGTGTGTAAAAACATCTCTGAACAGGTCTATTAAAAATACGTATTCCTCCATCAAAGGGACCAGCTGAAGTTACTGAGAAACTCCCCGGTCTAACTGGAGAAGTACAGACTCACCTACCCAAGGTAAGATGGTACTTTCATTGTAAATCATTTTCTAATATCATTAATGCAAAACTCATTAATAAAAACACATCAATAAATGTTACATGTACAGGAATCGCAACAAAGATCTTAAGAATTCGCAAACACCAAGTTTCGAAATCCATACTTCACTATATAAACTGACATTGCATAGCTACTTATTCAGAACTGTACAGTATTATACTCTCAGCATGTAAATTGCATTGCCCAGACCTCACATGCTGTGAAAAGATTTAAAAGCATCAAATAATAATACCCCAAAAGCCGACCTCAAGTAAAGAAGTGAACTTGGGCAAAAGATTAGGGTTTCTGAACACCCAGTGGGGATGGAGTCACTAAAGTATATCAAAACTACTAAAACTGCACACTTGAGGTAAATCAGTTTATATTTAAGGCCAAAATATTCTGATAAATTAAGAAATTACAAGCAGCAAAAGCTGAAAAGCATAAGGAAAAGGAGTAAAAAGTAAACAGGAGTCTTTTAGAAATCCATGTGTCAGTAATGGGCTAAATAGTTTTGTTCTGTATTGTAGAATTCTATGATACTAGGAAGATACAAACAGACATTGGTAAAAAACAAATTCTAAAAGGGATTAAGAAGAATTTCTTGGAATGCGCATCAACAAAGGTGGCAGAGAGAGGCACTGGGATAATTCAATATATAAAACGTGAGCTGCCATGTTGTGAAGGATAGGCTTCAACGGGATGAATGGCCAAATTAATCTTCCTGCTGGCTGTGGATTTAATCAAACATTAGCTGGTCAGATCGCCAATCAGGCAGCAGGCCCCATTAACAGTTCAGACCAGGAAAATCAAACTGAAAATAAAAGCCACGAGAAAGAAATTAGAGGTGGTGGTGCTGAATATCTTAAAACACAGAGGTGGATGGATCGCCAGGACCTGATCAGGTGTATCCCACAACATTGTGGGAAACCAGGGAAGCGATCGCTGGGCTACTTGCTCAGATGTCTGCAACATTGATGGCCATAGGTGAGGTGCCAGAAGACTGGAGGTTGGCTAATGTGGTGCCACTATTTAAAAAAGGTGGAAAGGAAAAGCCAGGGAACTACAGACCAGTGAGCCTGATGGCAGTGTGGGACATGTTGTTGGAGGGGATTCTGAGGGTCAGGATTCACATGGATTTGGTAATGCAAGGACTGATTAGGGATAGCCAACATGGCTTTGTGCGGGGGAAATTGTGTCTCACTAACTTGGTTGAGTTTTTTGAAGGGGTGACAAAGAAGATTGATGAAGGCAGAGTGGTCGATGTTGCCTATATGGACTTCAGTAAGGCATTTGATAAGGTTCGTCGTGGTAGACAGGTTGGTGAGGTTAGATCACTTGGAATCCAGGAAGAGCTAGCCATTTGGATTCAAAATTGGCTCGTAGGTAGGAGACAGGCAGTGGCAGTGGAGGGTTGGTTTTTAGACTGGAGGACTGTGATCAGAGGTGTGCAACAACGATTGTTTCTGGATCCACTGCTTTTTGTCATGATTTGGAGGAGTATAAGAGGTAACGGTTAATTCATTTGCAGATGCCATCAAAATCGATGGTGTAGTGGGTAGTGAAGTACATTATCTCAGAGTACAGCAGGACCTTGATCAGATGGGCCAGTAGGCAAAGGAGTGGCAGACAGAGTTTAGTTTAGATAAATGTGAAGTGCTGCATTTTGAGGGGAAGACAACTCAAGGGAAGACTTATACACTTAATGCTAAAGTCCTGGGAAGTGTTACCAAACAGAGACCTTGGGGTGCAGATTCCTTGAAAGTACAGTTGCAGGTAGACGGGGTTGTGAAGGTGTTTGGTATGCTTGCCATTATTGGTCAGTGCATTGAGAGATCATGTTGCGGCTGTACAGGACATTGGTTAGGCCACTTTCGGAATACTGCATTCAATTCTGGGATCCCCGTTATAGGAAGGATGTTGTTAAACTTGAAAGGGTTCAGAAAAGAATTACAAGGATGTTGCCAGGGTTGGAGGGTTTGAGCTATAGGGAGAGGCTGAATAGGCTGGGGCTATTTTCCCTGGAGCGTCGGAGGCTGAGCGGTGACCTTATAGAGGTTTATAAGATCATGAGGGGTATGGATAGGGTAAATAAACAAGGTCTTTTCCCTGGGGTGGGGGAGTCCAAAACTAGACAGCATAGGTATAAGGTGAGAGGGAAAGCTTTGAAAGGGACCTAAGGGGCAACTTTTTCACACAGAGGGTGGCGTGTGTATGGAATGAGCTGCCAGAGGAAGTGGTGGAGGCTGGTACAATTACAACATTTAAAAGGCATCTGGATAGGTATATGAATAGGAAGTGTTGAGAGGGAAATGTAGCAAATGCTTGCCAACAGCAGGTCGTCAGTTTGGGATATCTGGTTGGCATGGACAATTGGACTGGACTGAAGGGTCTGTTTCCGTGCTGTACATCTCTATGACTCTATAACACAGCAGAACCGATCGAACTCCAAATAAAAAAGGCCAGACTTCCAAAATCTTGGTTCCCACTTCTCAGGGACAGCAGCCGAGTTATCTCTGACCCAGTAGTAAGGTGCAGATTAGATGGGAAACCCCTTACAAAAGTAAACTGGGCGATTGGCCGAGGCCCTCACCTGCGACAGCATGAAGTATTCATCAGACTCCATGGTGTCCACAAAATGCAGGATCTCCAATTCGAACATGACTGTGGCATTTGCTGGGATTCGTGGGGGACAGCCCATCTGGCCATACGCATACTGAGGCTTGAACAGAAACCTGGCGAATTCACCCTTCCTCATGGTCTGGATGGCCAGCTCCATACCGAGCAGGGTGATATCTGGAAAAGAACAGCACAACAGGAATCTGGCCGATCACCTTTCAGGGACAGGATCGGTGCATAATACCAGCTGTAGGGTACTCTCACAAAATCACAACGCTTTTAAAACACCGAGCGACAGACAAACAAAAGTGCTCATTCACTGTTATCTCCACAGAAACTGAACAACATCCGGAAACTTCTTCAGACTGGACTTTCCCCAACACCCTCCCCTTTCCCCAACCCCAGAAATCAGTTGTCTTCATCTCAGGCAGCACCCAGAGACAGACCGTGAAAGTTTGGGTGGTTCAAAAAGTCATAAATTCCCAAGAGTCAGTTACAATTCTTCCACGAAAGCTCCGAGATGAACCACAAAGTGTTTCCATTGGCCTCCTGAGGCTAGTTTTGGAAGTGGTGTGTGGTCCACTCAATGCAAGTGACTAACAGTAACTAGTGCCTCGATGCTTTGGTGTTAGCCTACGATCAGACCCTGGTGACAGAGTGCCTATCCTGCCAGTGGATTGGCTGGGGTTGTGGAGAGGTCACTGGCGACATTTCTCTGGGGATGTGATCACTGGTACACGCGGCCCACGTCTCAGCCGTGCACAGAATGGATAGGTGGTGTTACTGCCCTGTAGCCCATGAGCTGGGTGTCCAGGATTGATGTCTTTGCTGTCAAACAAAGTGTTCTTCAGACAGCCACAGGCTGAGCTGGCACACTGGAAGCAACATCCAATTTAATGGCCAACGTTGGCTTTCAATGAGAGGAGGCTCTCAAGGAATGAGTATTGACCCATGTTGGCCAGTAGCTGGCCCTGGACTGCGATGGAATGGGGAAACCGTTGTGCAGCCTGAAGAAGTGGGTAGACCTTTGAGTTCCAAACATTCAGCTCAAGGCCCATTCACTTCCAGGTCTCTGGAAATGCAACAACAAACGGTCTAGAGCTCCGCCTCAGTCTGTGCATACATAAGCACCGTATACAAGCTGCAGCTTAATGCCAGGCACGGGGTCTGGACCGGAGGTGACAGTTTCAACAGTTTCCCAGTCACCTCGTACAGAAACCCCACTCCAGTGGGAGGTGCAGCTTTTGTCCGCAGATGGACAAAAGCATTGGTGTGGTGACAAAACCTTTGTGACTCCAGTCTGCAGAGGTATTGGTTGGGCGGTGAACTCATTGGTGAAGATCACCGCTTGCATATTGTCACGCAGCAGGCACAGGATGGTGACAAAATTCGAAGCCGACGCTCTATCATTCCTCCTATGTGACACAGTCCGAGGTTTATCGTGAATGTTGAAGGTTCTTACTGCTCTCTGCAAGGCCAATTTCAACCCACAAACGCGGAGTGATGACTTTGAGTGACACAGTGCGTTGGCATAACACTTTCCCAACCTAGCACCAATTACCATGACGACCACTGAACAGGAATGGAAATCTACTGGCAGTCAGAGACAGATTGATAAAGCTTTTAACACATTGTTCATTCAGGTGAGGGATATCACTTTTTAAATTCACTGACGGCCATTATATCACCATCCACGGGGGAAATCCCATCTAGTTCACTAATGCCCTTTAGAGAAATCTGCTATCCTTACCTCTTCTGGCTGACATGTGACTGTAGACCCACAGCAACGTGGTTAACTCTTACCTGCCCTCTGGGCAAAAAATACTGGTTGAGCTAGTGATGTATGCATCCCATGAATATATCACCCGTTTCAGGCTCAAAAATTAAATCAAACTCTTCCAAGTCAAGAAGAATGAAGTTCACTTTTGACAGCATTATCAAAAACTCCAAAGACTTAATGGATCAGATTCAAAGAAAGGTTCCTTCACTACATCTCAATTAAGAGAGACCCTGGTCAAATATGGCAGTATACTACACCAGTGTCACCTTTCTCTAACAGGTAACCAATTCTGTGCTAAATTAGGGAGATTACACCACCTCATATTACACAATGAGCAACTCTGAACAGTCTAAACTACTCTGAACAGTCTAGGCCTAGACCCCGAAACGTCAGCCTCTCTGCTCCTATGATGCTGCTTGGCCTGCTGTGTTCATCCAGCCCTGCACCTTGTTGTCTCGGATTCTCCAGCATCTGCAGTTCCTACCATCTCTGATTCGAGTCTAAACTACTGTCTGACACAGCATAAATACTACTTCTCAGAATAAAGGTATTCTCTCATGTCTGGGGTCAGTAGTTTCCAGAAAGTTTATACTTGCCTCATCATCCCAGATATCCCCAATTCCCTCTCCTTCTCTCAGGAACCCTGTGGGTTGGACACATGCAGACTTGCTGTTGATAGCAGCGTGAGTTCTGCGCTCCAATGTGAGAGCTGACATTCTCAGCTTCCATGTCTAGATGGCGCTGGTGCACCACGGTCTTGCAAACAAACCAGAGTGCAACTGGTCGCTCGATCATTAAACTGTCAGGTTTGTCAATGCTAGCTACTCACCGATTAACAAAGGAGACGCGGCACATTCACTTTGAGGAAGTGAGATGTGGTTAGTGGAAAAGGAAATGTATTTCTTCAGCTCGGAGAATGGCTGGGTGTCCAAACTCAATACAGCCATCCTCACCGGAGTACACAACACCCTGAGGCAATTTGTACATCCTGTCCAGGGGCACGACAGTCTCGTCAGTGTCTTTTCTCAGAACTCAACAGAGGAAGGTCCAGCTGGTGCTTTGATTTTAGTTTGGAGAGCAGTGTATGGGCTCATCCAACAGAGCGTTACTCAATCTCCATTCACACTGGCTACATGCAGCAACGGCTTCCTAGAACTGCTCCCCCCGAATGGGCTGAGAAAACAATGATGAAGGGTCTAGGCCCGAAACGTCAGCCTCTCTGCTCCTATGATGCTGCTTGGCCTGCTGTGTTCATCCAGCTCTACACCTTGTTGTCTCTAACATGCAGCATTCTCACTGGTGAGGCACAAACCATGGCTGTGCCGGCCAGAATGCAGTCCCCAGCTCGGACACGCAAGCTCACCACCCTTAGTATTCTTATTCAAATGTAGTTCACACAAGGTCACAATCCCCAGCAGAAACCTGCACTCATTTGTTCAAATACAACAATACTGTACCAGGAGGTGGCATTAACCAACTCCTGTTGCAGGGCAGTGCCATGGGAACGCCATTCCTCATGGGGTCAGGGCAGTGCCACGGGAACACAATTCCCTACGGGGGCGATGCCTCACGGGAGTGCTGTTCCCCTCAGGATTATGGCTTTAAACCTTTCTAACCCCTACAAAAAGGAGAAAACAAGTAAATACGAGAGCTGGGCTGGATCTGATTCTCAGCAGAATCACCTTAAGAATCAGGCACTGTAGGTGGTGACTTCACTGCGCTCATTTACATACATGACACATCAGCTATTTCTAATTCTTTAAACTCTACAGCCCTGACTGTAACAACTTATCCGCTGTTTATAATGGGGGTGAAGAGTGCTGAGGAACAGTGAATGGTACATCTAACTGAGACCAGATACTGTCATTGCAAAGTTTTGTCTGTTACTTGGGTAAATACTGCAGCTTCTAGTCTCTGGAAGCCAAGACAGCCCTGTCTCCTGCTGTTTTCTCTCTGAGAGGAGGAGATGCAGGAACATTGCGCAAATCATAAAATGGAGGGGAAGCAAGTACACCAGATGAAGGGCAAGGAGGACTGCATGCCCTTACCCTGACTAACAGCACCACAGTCAGGAGCAAAAAAATGCAGTGAGCGAGGCTGTACCCAGCTCCCTCGCTGGGTTCAGCAATCCATGTTCACACACACACACCAGAACAAACCAAACTCACCTCGACCAAGCTTCATGAACCTTGGCACATCCCTCTGCACATTGGAATCGAAGGGTTTGTCTGTATATTCACTATAGGCACTGTAGTGAACTGTATGAAATGAACAGAACAGAGAAGAACACAGAGTCAACTAAAGCCAGGCTTCAGAAATGAGTCTCAGCAGGATACAGAAGGTTCTATCAGGAGGTAAACTTCAGCAGCATTCACAACTAAATCCAACCCCTGCTATCTCCTGGTCCATACATTGTAAAGCGATCCAGAGCAAAAACTCTTAACTGTTCCTTTTCTCACTCGGAGGGGGAGAAAAAAAATTCTGGAAAATGATAAAATTGGTCCGAACCCATCCTGGATACCTTAACAAAGGACTTCAGTTCAGGATAGGACTGCCGCCTCCACATTGTACTGGGTGCTCCTTCTGGGATATACAGACTGGTCAGTCCTCACTGGAAGCAGGGAAGTAGAGGTTTATTGGTCTATATATATATGATTCGCTGCCTTTACTGAATGAATAAATATAAAAACGATGGAAGGATTAAACTGTTACACTGAACAACGGATGGTGAAAACTTGAAAAGAAACAGAAAATACTCAGGTCAGGGTAGCCGTTTCCACTATTAAAAGGATGAGCTTGTGTGATCAATGATGAACTGAACATGTATAACTTTCATCCCGCTCAAGAAATTCAGATAATGTTTCTTTTTACTCATTCATGGGATATGGGCGTCACTGGCTAGGCCAGCACTTATTGGCCATCCCCAGAGGGCAGTTATGGAAAACAGCCAATGTGACGCCACTGTTTAAAAAAAAAAGGAAGTAGACAAAAAGCAGGTAACTACAGGCCAGTTAGCTTAACTTCGGTAGTGGGGAAAATGCTTGAATCTATCATTAAGGAAGAAATAGCAAGACATCTGGATATAAATTGTCCCATTGGAAACACCCAGCATGGGTTCATGAAGGGTAGGTCATGTTTAATTAATTTGGTGGAATTCTTTGAGGACATTACTTGCATGGTGGACAATGGGGATGTGGTGTAAATGGATTTCCAGAAGGCATTTGACAAGGTGCCACACCAGAGGCTGCTACACAAGATAAATTTGCACTGTATTACAGGTAATGTGGATAGAGGATTGGTTGACCAGTAGAAAGCAAAGAGTAGGGGTAAAGGGGCGTTTTTCTGGTTGGTGGTCAGTGGCTAGTGGTGTGCCTCAGGGATCAGTGTTGGGACCGCAATTGTTTATAATTTACAAAGATGATTTGGAGTCGGGGACTAAGTGTAGTACGTCTAAATTTGCAGATGACACTAAGATGAATGGTACAGCAAAGTGTGCAGAAGACACAAAGTCTGCAAAGGGATATAGATAGTCTAAGTGAGTGGGCAAAGGTCTGGCAGATGGAGTACAATGTTGATAAGTGTGAGGTCATCCATTTTGGCAGGAATAACTGGAAAATGGACTATGTTTTAAATGGTAAAAAATTGCAGCACGCTGCTGTGCAGAGGGACTTGGGTGTCCTTGCGCATGAATCACTAAAAGTAGGATTGCTGGTGCAGCAGGTAATTAAAAAGCCAAATGGAATTTTATCTGCCATTGCTAGAGGGATGGAGTTTAAAAACAGGGAGGCTATGCTGCAGCTGTATAGGTGAGGCCACCTATACTGTGTGCAGTTTTGGTCTCCTTACTTGAGAAGAGACATACTAGCACTAGAGGGGGTGCAGAGGAGATTCACTCGGTTGATTCCAGAGTTGAGAGGGCTGGATTATGAGGAGAGACTGAGTAGACTAGGATTATACTCATTGGAATTCAGAAGAATGAGGGAAGATCTTATAGAATCATATAAGATTATGAAGGGAATAGATAAGGTGGGGGCAGGGAGGTTGTTTCCACTAGCAAGTGAAACTAGCACTAGAGGGCAGAGGGCATCGCCCCAAAATAAAGGGAAGCAGATGTAGGACTGAGGTCAGGAGGAACTTCTTCACCCAAAGGGTTGTGAATTGGTGGAATTCCCTGCCCAGTGAAGCAGTTGAAGCTACCTCGCTGAATGTTTTTAAGGCAAGGCTAGATAATTCCTTTACTGTTCAAAAATTCAACGGTTATGGTGAGTGGGCGGGTAAGTGGAGCGGAGTCTCAAAAAGATCATGACCTTATTAAATAGTGGGGCAGGCTCGAGGGGCCAGATGGCCTACTCCTGCTCCTAGTTCTTATGTTCTTATGTTCATGAGTCAACCACATTGCTGGTGGTCTGGAGTCACATGTAGGCCAGACCAGGTGAGGATAGCAGTTTCATTCCCTAAAGAACATGAGTGAACCTAAGACATTAATACTCCTTTAAAGCTTATTAACTGAAGGCTGACAAAGTGCAGGTTCAGGAAGGTCTTTGGCCCTTCCAACTGAAGCTGCAGACACCTATAATCTCAGCATCCGAGTGCCTCTCATAAAAGCCCCGAAGTTTTGCCTCCATTAGCAGAGAGCTGTTATTGTAATATAACCTGTTGCACTGGTGTCTATCCTGGTCTGACAGGGTGGTGTGATTCACCAAACAGGAATATGGAGGCCCCTCCTTATCGAGGAAGCAATTGCCCAGGTCATCCCACACACTCTTCATGTGACGTAGGGCCTCACACTAAACACGGTCAATGAAAAGGGAATGCAATAGGCGACAAGACTGTGCACAAGGAACAGGCAATTTCTGCAGCAAAAGGTAAGGTTCAACCATTCTGTTTCTGCTTAAGATAATCAAGATACCCTTCTGTGAATCTCTGCCGCTATTTGGGGCTCCCTATGCCTTTCTTCACCATCGAAACCGGCTTTTTCTGTACGAGTACCCCCCTATCTCCAACTCCCTCAATACCACCAAGCTCAGCTCACCCCCTAGGAATTGAAGACTGAATCATGAATTCGTGGAATTAAAAAATAAATTACTTTACAAAAATAAAAGTGGGGAGTGTGAGTCTTTCAAATTTTGCCCTGGTTTCCATGGGAGAAACTCCTCACCACTGGAGGTCCATTGGGGTGGGGGGAAAGAGAGCGGTGGGGAGCTGTGTGTGTGGTGTTGGTACACGAAAGGCTCAGGGTAGCTCCGTCACCAGCCCTACCAGACACGGAGGCAGTCGATGGGATAACACTGCCTGAGCCAGGTCGGAGAATCTCCTTCAGGACACCACCATCACCGGTCACATCTTGCATTCTCTGAGACATGTAGTAGAAGGGGTTCTGAAATCAAAAGGCATTAAATATTGTTGCAAGAAGTGTCGCACACCTGCAATATTCACAGTGAGCCTTACATTTAGTGTTAGTCATAGAATCACAGAATTTTTACAGAATGGAGAAGAGTCCTGCAGGCCATCACACCCATGTTGGTCCAATCCACTTTCCCAGCACTTGCCCTGTAGCCTTGCATACTAAGACATTTCAAGAGCTTAAATGGCTTGAGGGTTCCTGCCTCCAACACCGTTTCAGACCAAGGTCCGAATACCTATCATTGTCTGGGTACAAACTCTTTACCTCAAATCTCCTCGCGTTTAAAACTGTGCCCTCTGGTTACTGACCACTCCATCATATGCCCCCACTCAGCCTTTGTTGCTTTAAGGAAAACAACCCCAGTCTCTTGTTGGACAACAAAGACACCTACATCAGACTCCTGCTCATTGACTACAGCTCCGTCTTCAACACCTTTATCCCATCCAGACTGATCTCAAAACTCCGTGACCTTGGTCTTCGCTCCACCCTCTGCAACTGGATCCCCAGCTTCCTGACCCACAGACCGCAGTGAGGATAGGTAACTGCACCCCCTCCACAGTAACACTCAACACTGGAGCCCCCCCCAGGGGTGTGTCCTCAGCCCCCTATTGTACTCCTGTACACCTACGACTGTGTCGCCAAATCCCAAATGAACGCCATCTACAGGTTCGCTGATGACATCACTGTAGTGGGACAGATATCTAACAACGATGAGTTAAAATACAGAAGGGAGACAGAGGGCTTGGTGATGTGGTGCAATGAGAACGACCTTTTTCTCAACATTGGCCAAAACTAAAGAACTGATCATTGACTTCAGAAAGAAAGGAGGAGAACATGTCCCCATCTACAATGCTGAGGTTGAGAGGGTGGAGAGCGTCAAGTTCCTCAGAGTGATGATAACCGATAACCTGTCCTGGACTCCACACGTAGATGCGACAGTCAAGGTGGCACAAGAACGCCTCTTCTTCCTCAGGTGGCTCAGGAAATTTGGAATGTCCATTAAAGGTACCTCACCAACTTCTACAGGTGCACCACTGAAAACGTACTGTCCGGGTGCATCACGGCCTGGTATGGCAACTGCTCTGCCCAGGACCCGTAAGAAACTACAGAAGGTGGTGTGCACAGCCCAGACCATCACGGAAGCCAACCTTCCATCCATGGACTCTATTTAGATGGCTCACTGCCACAGAAAGGCGGCCAACATCAAAGACCCATCGCACCCTGGTAATGATCTCCTACAACCTCTTTCATTAGACAGAAGATACAGAAGCCTGAACACACACACCAGCAGGTTCAGGAACAGCTTCCTCCTGGCCATTATCAAACTGTTGAATGGACTCCAACCTCAAATAACGTTGATCTTGCCTAGCGCACAGCCCTGTAACCTGTATGCCTCTAAGTTTTTTTTTTTTTTTTTTACAACCTTTGATCTATACATCCTTGCTTACTATGATCTGCCTGTACTGCTCGCAAACAAAGCTTTTCACTGTACTCTGGTACACATGACGACAAGAAATCAATCCATCAATCAATGTCTCTTCACAGCCGAAATACTCCAGGCCACGCACATCCTGGGGAATCTTCTCTGCACTCTCTCTGGTGTAATTTTCTGCTCCCAACACTGAAATGGAAAACACACCTTGAGTAATAAACAGTTATTCCCTTACCCCTCAATTATTTTCCAGGTGTTGAATCACTCTGGCGACTCTATGCATGTTACCACAGCAACCATGTTTCATACACAAGTGTGGGCTTGCTATTCAACAATGGAGGCATCACAGCCCAGTTCAGTCCAAGCAGTACTCTCAAAATCCCTACCCCTGTTTAATTGGGGGCCAACTGATAATTGAGGATCACGAGCCTGTACCAATTCTATCTTTCTTTAGCCCCAAGGTATTGAAGCCAATAACAGTGCCGTAGAGGGACTGGGCTGGCTGAGCAGACGCTGGGAATGGCTAACCATCATGCTACATGGTACAGTACCCTACCCTACTCGAAACCCTCAAGTGCTATACAAAGAACAAAATGATTACTGTGTCAAGCTCCACTCAGAAAGCAGCATGCCATCATATCACAAACACTGGCAGGGCCTGGTCCCTGCTTACAGCAACACAATACCAGCAGATCCAAGTTATACTGAGACTGCATTGCACTCTGGCCAGAGACCAAGAACCAGATAGATTTAGAAGCTAAGTAGCTGAGTGCCTAGCAATGAAAAAAAATCAAAATGACAATGTTAACAGTTACCAGGTGGCCATGAGGGCTCGGAGGAGGTCCATTCATTCTGTTAACACAGACACAACAACGAAGATCAATCTCTGGTTGCTGTCAAACTCTTAAATGGAGAGAGGCTGGCCACTTGGTATGAAGTTTCTAGCAGATCAAAGTCTAGAGAGAAAATGAACATTAGTCACCATTGACCTTGTATTTGGGTGAACTTGTGTGAAACTAGTTTCACTTTTGCTTAATCTTTAGGAACTATAGGAATAACATCCCTGAAGTATGTCATGTCAGCATGATGAGAACTACAAGCGATTAAATGGAGATGGTACAAGAGAGAGAGAGTTTTATAAATGGGAAAAAAAGCCTTCAAATTCAACAAGCATATCACACTTAGAGATAACACACAGTGTGGAGCTGGAGGAACACAGCAGGCCAGGCAGCATCAGAGGAGCAGGAAAGCTGACGTTTCAGGTCAGCACCCTTCTTCAGAAATAGGGGGAGAGGGGGGGAGAAATTGGTCAGTAAGGTGGGATGGTGATAGGCGAGCGCAGGTAGGGAGTGGTGGGGATTGGTCAGTGAGGTGCCACTGTCCTCAAATCGCTCACTCTCCTGAAAAATAGCCAGCTGCTTCAAAGCCCTGTACCCTTCACAGTCCTCCTGGTAATCTGCTTCACAACATTGGAGTTTCTCCTGATTTTATTCTATTTCTAACACTAATCAATGTACAGAATCAGCTGTGACAATTCCTTTCTTCAACCAGAGCACCTCTGTGTTTAATCTGTCACTTAGTACACTGTAATCTACACTGTAATCCCACCAGCAGAAATGAACTGCCCCTTTATGACCCAATCTTGGATCTCCTTGCTTGGGAAATCTTGACAATAAGCCATTTGTATTTCACAATTACTCTTTCTTATGAAGATTTGCATCTATATAGCACCTGTCAGAATCACATGGCTGTATCAAAAGTACTTTGGCAATAAAGTGCTTTAAGTCAGTGTTGTAATGTAGAAATTTAATTAATACATGGCACCCAAACTAAATCAAAAGTGACAATGCAGCACATTATTACCCTTGCTGCAGTCTGGCTCTCAGGTACATAGTGTCATGAAGCAGGACTCACCAACCTGTGAAACGTTTTATTAAAGGGAAATTTACAAATCAGATAGATATCGAAAATTCTCAGTGTATGGGTAACTGCTGTGTATAACACAATAAAACCAAACTACATCTTTTTCAAATCAAACTTATGTCTCAAAAAGCAAAACCTCAGTTCAACAAAACCTGCCATTTTGATAGCATTACTTTGATTCTTAATCTTTGATGTAATTTCTGCTGGCAATTGCTTTCCATTTATCTACCCGATCTTAATCTCGCTCCAAGATATCTTTGTGTAAAACAGTGCAGATGCCAATACACTGCATGTAAATGCATTTTAATATCAAAATCTAATCTGGCCCAAGGTCTGTTGATGTAGATTCTTACATTACTGTTGCTTGGCGTTTCATTTCTTACCGAAGGCAACCTTTTAATGTTTTACTTTAGGGCATTTTTGTAGCGGTGATCTTCATCTAAAAGCTAAATTACAAAAGCACTTCCTGACCTGCCAGGTAATGACACTGGATGTGTTCTTCATCTTATTGCTCTTTGTACATTAAACTTTCATTGGAAAGTAAATGAATATGAGGGGTTATTGGCCAAAATTCTTCCCAAGGGGATACAGTGAGCTTTTAAGAGATGACTTGAGTTTGTCCCAAAGGTAACACATTTATGGCTTTCTGGACACAATCTATTTCTACCAGGCAATGTTATATTTGTTACATTGAATTCTCCATCTTAAAGCACAGCACTCCTCATAATACAGCCCCAAAGTCATTTGGAGCCCTCTGCCTATTCATCGGATGCTCTTTCAATTGTGTTTCTGTGCCTCCCGTGGGAGGCTGGCTAGTCATAATGCAGCAGTCTCCTCTCCTGTGAGGAGATTGAATATCGCAGCAGATGTAAAAGGTCTCCAACACGGATATGCACTGCAACAGCCTTCGGGCTGCAACCAGCAAGCCCACCATTAGAAGAATCCCAAGCCCAAACCCACTTCCCTTCTGTATTCACAGCTATGTTCTTCTGAGCAAGGTGGCGAGAGAAATTCTGACCAAAACCGTACTGGGGGTACAGCACTAAGTCAGTTTTAAGAGCACAGCAGTGAGAAAGGACAACAGCAAGTTCTGAAGGAGGGACACTGCACTCAAAACATTAAATCTATTTTCGCTCCACAGATGCTGCCAGACCAGCTACGTTTCTCTGGTAATTTCTGTTTCTGTTTGGGCAAGGAAGTGGTTATATAAATCAGCATCACTGCTGTGGCTGTGCAGCACTTTCCACCATCTGCACTTAAAATACATCGAGCAGGATGGAGTGTTTTATCTCAACCCAGAGAATGAGCGGGTATTGGGGTAGGATTCCCACTTGCTTCACACCTGAAGCAGCAAGAGCCCTACAAAAAAGATAGATAACTCCACAAATTCCACTTTTGGAATACTGCATTCAGTTCTGGTCTCCCTGCTATAGGAAGGATGTTGTGAAACTTGAAAGGGTTCAGAAAAGATTTACAAGCATGTTGCCAGGGTTGGAGGGTTTGAGCTACAGGGAGAGGCTGAATAGGCTGGGGGTCTTTTCACTGGAGCGTTGGAGGCTGAGGGGTGACCTTAAAGAAGTTTATAAAATCATGACGGGCATGGCTAGGGTAAACAGGTAAGGTCTTTTCCCTGGGGTGGGGGGTGGGTGTGTCCAAAACTACAGGGCATCGGTTTTAGGAGAGAGAGGAAAGATTTAAAAAAGGACTTGAGGGGCCAACTTTTTCATGCAGAGGGTGGCGCACATATGGAATGAGCCACCAAAAAAGAGGTGGTGGAGGTTGGTACAGTTATAACATTTGAAAAGCATCTGGATGGGTACATGAATAGGAAGGATTTAGAGGGATATGGGCCAAATGCTAGCAAATGGAACGAGGTCAGATTGGGACATCTGGCCAGCATGGACGAGTTAGACCGAAGGGTCTGTTCCGTGCTGTACACCTCTATGACTTGAAATGACCGAACAGAAATGTTTCAGTACCTGACAGCAGAGGTCTACAGATCAATGAATATTGACAGGCATTTCTGTCCAATTTTGAATTTAAGGACAGGTCCTCAGAGTGTTTCCATACCATGCAGCGTGTCGCTGCACAGCACACCACCAACAATATGGACTGGTCTTCACTTCTAAACGTTTTCTGAGGTGGTTTAATCGTAGAAAGCGGATCTCTGTCCCAGTTGTTCATGGGGCAAACTGCTGAACAAAGTTAAATGTAATTGTTAATAGGGAGTCAGATAAATACACGAAGGCACATAAAGGAAACAGGAGATGGGGACCGAGTCAGACAGTGGGACTATTTAAAGAGCCAGTGCACTCTTAGAGGGGTTGCACAGGTTTTTGTCTTGTCATATTCAATGTTTCCATAATGTGTACAAAGAGAATGACCCTAGGTTTGTGTCAACCACAGTGCCAGTCTTTTGCCACCCTCCCCACAAGCAAACAACTTACAAACTAACTAGTCTTACACAACTCTTAGCACACAGTATCAGTGTGGCACTGCAGATGTCAGGGGGCTGGTGGCAACACTTGATAATACCAAGAACCAAACAGTAAATAGATCAAAGTTATAGCTATGATTTTGTTTTTGTTCCATTTATATGCAATGCAATCAATTTCCACTCAAATACATTTTCACTTCAGAACAGCTTAGTTATTCAGTGCCATTTCTTGCTAGCAATCCTGGGAGACCTTGTGGCCCAGAGGCCTGTCTCATTGATCACCCATTAATGACTCCAAGTCACCGAACCAAAGTTTCTGAATGCATTAATACCCTGTCTCCAAAAGGTGAGACAGAGGAGATACATCAGGTCAAGGAGGTTGCAGTGTAATCAATTCTCACCCAGACATTTGATCAATACATACACACGCAGATACAATACCATGTAAATGCATTTAATATCTTCTTCTACTGTAACTGTCACCTGTTCTCCCAATGCATGCAGCTGTCTCTCCCTAGTCTCCTAGTTAACCATCCATTCTCTGCATGCCACACCAAACAATGGGTGTTGGAAGAGCTGACAGCTGGGGAAAACAACGTGTTAGAAAGAGTGCAGAGAAAGGATTTTCACAACTGGGTTTGATGATGGCCTCAAAAGTCCACATCTAACTTTCCGTGGCAGTTGATGAAATGTCAGCAGGAGCAATTTGGGCTCTCGATTCAGAAAGGCAGAGTTCAGTTCCAGTACTGTAGCAGCACAGACTAGGGATCAAACTACAGTCAGTCAGTGTGGTTCAGCACCACACTTGTGCGTAATTATTTAGCAAAGCAACACAGGCTCAGTCATTAAACTTTGAGTGAGCATTCTCAAGGCCAAGATATATAGATTTTTGTTAAAGGTATCAAGGGATGAGTGGGTCAAAGATGGGAAAATGGAGCCAAGGGGCAGATCTGAGACAGTCGAATTGAATCAGGGCAGACCCAAGGGATTGTATAGACTACTCTTATTCCTTTGGTTCTCGACTCCAGAGGAAAGAAATGAATAGGACATTGCGGGGTTAGACAGTGTGTTCAGAAATGATAACAGTTGATTAAAAAATAAAAAAGGGGGAGATAGTGCAGCCAAATATGTCAGTAAGGTAGATACATTCTTTCTCCAAAGGAAGAAAAAAAAAATCCACCTAACGACTGAGTAGGTATTGCTAATACGAAAATACTCAACAGAGGCATGCAATCTACCACAAATCAAATCACCTTACTAGGGCCAGAAATTTATCTAGATGGGCAATTTCAATCTACCCAGTAATAACCGAGAGAAGTTGTGATTAAGCTGGTTAAGTGACCCACGACTGTTCCTTAGCCAAAGATACGTCACGTTCATCTTGATCTGGACTTGATTTTTCTGTACATCTTTCGTCAATTACAAAGTCGTGACATCCCTGGTGATAGCTCTCAGAATGATCAAAGACAGCATGAGCCAAGATTCAGAAAGCTGTAGACCAGGCATCGAATGCAACACTGAAAGACAGATCAATTCCAATAAAACGAAGGCACTCAGATGATTTGATTGGAGAAGTTGTTCAACTTCACAGCAGAACAAATGGGACTTCTTCAAAAGAGACATAACGTAAGTATAGGAGGATAATCATATGCTTAAAATCAGCAAACTCAAACAGATATGGCCCCAAATTAATCATACAACAAGTCCAAAGGAAAATGAGCTGTATAAATCCAGAAGGGAGGCTTCATCGAAATGAATATCTGAATAATAAATCCTTTACTATGCAGCAGTCAACATCAATTCAGAAACAGCAATGTCCTCGGATGATATCCCACGTGGTCACGAAAGGACTTAATTATTGATCAACTTCTAAAAGGCATTCGGCAAACTTAGTTCAGCATTAAACAGGAGTACAGATAAAGAATTAGCAGCTAGTTAGAAAGCAACAGATGTCTGTAAGTGGCATTGGATGGGAGATGAATGGGATGTCTCCACTGCAGTAGTTGCTGGAACCACTCCTAATTCCTACTCAAATTCAACACTCACTAAATTGTAGATAAATCTCATCCAGCAGGGCTGTGCAATTGGACAAGGCAGCACAAATATTACAGAATGAGTCAGCCAAAAAAGGTTTCAAGTCAGCAGAGCAGGAGCAGATGGAACTTAGAGAGAAATGTAAACCACCACCCAAAGGAATGAGAAATGAGCAACCTGCACCAAATGAAAGCTGCTGAAAGAGCAGAGTATGAAGAGATTAAAAAAAAATTCACGGTAACCTTTATGCTCAACCTATCCAAGCAATTCAAAGCAGCAATCAACAATCCAGCTCAATGCTGAACCACGCAAAATAATAGAATACAAATCAAAAGGAAGCTTGGAGTAAATTGCACATGGTCTGGTCACTTCTCAAGCATCCATTTCCTCTCATCTTTGCACAAAGATTGCTGACATATTATCAGATGATGCCTACAGGACCAACAATGGCACTGAGATCAGGAGAGAGGGTAACACTAAACTGGTTACAACTTTTGGTATTTGACCCATTCATGATCATGTTTCATGTTCCTACCAGTCACAGGACAAATGTTCAATTTTCTAATGGATCAGCTTTCACCTTGGTTAGCAGTAGCCCCCCTCTATCCACACACACAAACACAAACACACACTTTTACAATTGCACTGTCCTTTATATTCTAATATAAAATTTTGTTGCAAGGTTTTCCAATGGCTTTTCAAACCATTCAAACCTAAGCTGCTCCCATGTTGCTAGACAGCAAATTATAAGGGAGCTCTATTATATCTACTCTAGAGATGTAAAGCTTATCTCAGATCTGATTTGTAACAGCCAATAAGTCTTCATGAAACAGACAATTGCAGTGAATACTTTCCTCAGGGAATCCTTCCAAAAATGACCTTTTCCAAAATCCTGCATTTGCATTTCAATCAATATGGGAGATTAGCTGGAAATCTTTTAACTGAAGCACAGTGAAGAAGCTTCTATATTGACAATGCTTCCTAATTAAGTGATATTACTTGGCGTCATTTGTTGGTACGGAACAATGAGAGGCAGATCAGCATTTATTTCCTGTAGGATTATGATATGCTTGCAAGAAAATTTGCTTAGCTCCAATCTCCTTTATAAATGCACCAGAAATGCCCATTAGCAACTGCTTCTCCTAATTAAGTGATATCAGGAAAGCAGAGCGGGGGCAGAACTATTTCAATCTTCGCAGCTGGTGATTTATTTTGCCCATGCTCACAAATCTTGAATATTCAGGTATTTGCTTCTGTATCGTGCTGTGATCACCCCCCAAGTCCAACCCAGACATTTATGCTCAGGGCTGGAACTGGATTCTGATGCAAAAAAAAAAACACTCCGAAATCTCAGTGCCCTGTGAGCCAAGACAGAGACACCCAATTTAGTCTCAAATCAAAGCAAAGTGCAGCGGATGCTGGAAATCTGAAATAAAAACAAGCGCTGGAGAAACTCAGCAGGTCTGGCAGCATTGGCGGAGAGAGAAACACAATAGGTTTAGAGTTCTGGAGAAGAGTCATACTGGACTTGAAATTTTAAATCTGTGTTCTCTCCACTGATGCTACCTGACCTGCAAGTTTCTCCAGAATTTGCAATTTTTATTCTGATTTATGGATATTGATATAGTCTTGATAGTTAACACGTTGGTTAACATTCCACCTCAGCCAAATCCCCAGGATTGATCCAGCAATTCAGGACTAATATCCTGGTCATTGCTGTAAATTATCCAGGAAAAACAATGGTAAGGGCATTGCAAACAAGTTAAATTCTTTTTAACATTAGAAAAACTGTAAAGTTAGGACATGTTGGAGACGTGGAACATGGTGATTTGAATAGGTAGGGCAGCTGGAGGTAGGTCCTCATTAGATGAAAGCTCCAAGAATATACCCAAAGCTGGAAATTCTAGATCACAAATCCTTTGGGATACTATCTATTCATGGCTGCTTCTAGTTTCTGTTAGATTTCAGGCAATTGAAAGTTTTTCTTTTAACTTTCCATCCCCATATTGACACTTTGAAAATGATCTTCTGTGAGCAACTTCCACAGACAGAGAAATTTAGAGTGAAGAAAATAAGCTAGCTTTTGCCTGAAGAAATCTCTCAATCCCACTTCCTCCCCGCACCCAACCACCTCTTGGTTACACAGAGCTAAAACCAGGTACACGAGGATCCCACTCCCCTCCTGCTGGGGATCTACCATTACCATTCCATAAAAGGACACATGAGGGGGTCTTCAGTTTCAGCCAACTCTGCTCTAGGACTACCTCCATTCTGACCTTCTGTTTGGTCTCTCCACTTTCAGAGAGAGACCATTATAATATCTCATGCTGATTTCACTGGCATCTTTTCTGATGCAGGAGACTGCATTGAGAAGTTGTTATTAGGACAATAGTCAGCTCCTGTGTGTAAGTTTGAAAATGATCACACCTGCTTCATCTCTTGAAAATGCTAATATTCAGATCACAGGAACACAGTCAGCTCTTCAACTCTATTGACTGTTGAGACATTTTCCTCCCCTGGCTCTCCTCCCCGGCTCAACTTGCAGACTTCCTGACACCTGCCTCAACTTTTCCACTTTATGCCTCCAATCCACCCATCACCGTCTGCATGGGTTTCATCTGGGTGCTCTGGTTTCCTTCCACAGTCGAAAGATGTGCAGGTTAGGTGGATTGGTCATGCTAAATTGATCCATAGTGCCGAGGAACGTGTAGGCTATGTGGGTTA